ATATTCGAATCGAATCAGGGTACAATTCGAATTTCATTGATTAATATATAATCAAAGTTTGGCAGTCTAATTACTGTCACCAATTATTACTTGGGAGACCGTATTAATTTATGGTAAATTTATGGTTATGTGGATCGGAATGAATTGGCTATTACTAAAGAATTAGCTTTAAATGTTTATTAGTCGAAACTAATTTATTAACTTATTTCCAAGTTAAACTTTATTCCAAAGTTATTTACAAGGATATCGGCTTCTTGTATACAATTAGTTCAATTAGAAGTGCTTTTATCGCAATATTATGTTTTCATGTCTTTGACATATTATTGTACCTTAACACAATTTTGTACTTTAAACACGCCTGTGTGTTTCTTGTATAATCACGTTTTTGTGTTTTAAGCACACTAAATAATTATGACGTTATATGAGTTATGTGAAATAAAATTAAATGATAAAAAAAAAAAAAGCAAAGTCGTACAACAAAACATTCTGAATCCACTTCATTCAATTCTCAGAATGTTATATATTCTGAGAAATGGGAAGAATGAGTGTCAAGTTTCATATTTTTTGGCGTGGGAAAATTTACTAGGATTTATTTATATTTAAAGTTTAGTTAACGTGGTCACAAGGTTGATTTAATTCAATTCGGAATTAGAATGTCTTGACCAATTACAATGATAATGGATCAGCGTTAAATTCTAATTCCGGGGTACACATTAAAAAAAAAAGGATTATCAAAGTTATTTTTAATTATTATTATTATCAATTATTAATTTTCTTTTAAATATGGTTACTAAGTGAAGAGAGATAACACCTCGTGATTAGGGCTGGCTTGCGTAAAGGGGAAAAAATACTAATTTAGTAATAATTGTCTTGACTATATTAATATATATTAATATGACCAGTCAAAATGTGGTCCAGAAATTGAAGATTTTGATTTTGAAAATAATTAAAATTTAAAAAGATAATGTGTCCGCAATATGTATAACATGGTATACCCTGATTGACAACACTAAATAATTTAGTCAAGTTTAGCCATGTGCTCATTTGAGTTACGTAGCCAGCCCTGCTTGTGAAACGAAATACGTGCGTATAAATTTATATCAATATTTTACAAAAGATATTACTATTACTATTACCGGTCAGTACGTTTTATATCGAAAAAAATATAATTTTTTAAAGAGTTTCTTTTTTAAATAATGAACAATTCTAATTATATTATTCAAAGACACCCTTTACGTCTGCTCATTATAAATCGACCGTTATATTATCTTTCAATAAACTATCGATATAATAATAGTTAATAATGCCAAGCAAAGATAATTATGATAATTCACTAAATCACAATGCTTCAAAAACTTCAATCAATTTAGTTGTATCTCATGTTTACTCTCCATTCTCTTCCTTACATTTAGCCGATAATGTAAATGTGGTTTCATTTCACCTACTGAAACAAAGATTTACAATCAAAAAGTACCGTTTAGTCATTTTAATTTCTACAATTGAAAAACAATTCAGGATTCTAGCGTTAATTATATCGTTTCAACCTCGATATTAAATTATTATTGGCTAATCAAGATCATTGTCTCATTACTATATATATAAACCAAGAGATCTGCACATATGAATTTCCAAAATGAATTTGTCAGATTCAGGAGTCCAAAACTATCAATTCTGTCGGAAATTAAATAATGAAGACAATGAAAAAAGAAAAATAGAATTCGATTAACAACTTAAACAACGAGAGTATAAATTAATTTCCCTCCGTATATGAATAATCCGATATGCATTTGATTTATCTTAGTATAAGAAGAAGAATTATGATTTCATGTGATATTTTAGAACCCCGCAAAATGGTTACTAATATAATTATTCGTTATATAAGAAGGAAAGAATCTAAACAAACATTTCAATATATTCACAAAGCAACATTAGAACATTAATTTTTCGAACCAAAGCTATTTAACAGTTCAAAAGGTTGTTTATCTTATTTGAATATCATATAACGAATTTATGAGCTACTACATTCCTTTTTTATATCTATTCAAATAAGCTTGATAATCATTTGAGCCGTTAAATAACTTCAACCAACCAACCGATCAAAATTCGAACCGAAAAAAAAAAACAAAACTTTCATTCAATCCAACTTTTTAAAACAAATTCAAAATGAAGATGTCACCTCCTTTAAACGAAAAACAAGATATGATTAACTCACGCAAACAAGGAACCAATTTTGAAAGAATACGTGCAGAAAAATTCAATTTTTTAAAAGAATTCTCAACAAGATATGGATACAATGGTAAAATAGATCAAATCCGTGAGAAGGAATATCCACAATTAAAAAATGCAGTTTACCTCGACCATACAGGCTCAACAACATATGCCAAGTCTGCCATTAAAAATTTTGGCCGTGATTTGTTATCTAATCTTTACGGAAATCCTCATTCAAATTCACCAAGCTCAAGGGCAAGTTCTGTACGAATTGAAGAAGTTCGCAAAAGAATTCTTAGACATTTTAATACTAACAATGAAGAGTACAGTGTAATTTTCACTGCAAATGCCACCAGTGCTGCTAAATTAGTCGGAGAAATGATTCCTTGGTCAAAACACAGCACTTATAAGTATTTAAGAGAATCTCACAATAGTATCAATGGCTTAAGAAGATTCGTTGAGAAAATTAACCCGAAAAATATTGTTAGTTTAACCGAATCTGATGTAGTTTCAATGATTAAAAGTGCTAATAGACCTGACTATATACCTAAACACCGTGAGATATCAGAAAAATCAAGGCGTAATCCTACGTATAGCCTTTTTGCGTATCCAGCTCAATGTAATTTCTCTGGTATGAGATTTCCCTTGAAATGGACTCGTGAAATCAAGAAATTAGATACCGAACGTGAAAAAACATTGGTGCTATTAGACGCAGCAGCTTATGTCCCAACATCTCCGCTCTCTCTAGCTGACAAAAAAAATTCTCCAGATTTCGTTATCCTCAGTTTTTATAAAATATTTGGATTCCCAACCGGGTTAGGAGCTTTAATAGTAAAAAATGAATTGGAACCAATTCTACAAAAAGATTATTTTGGTGGTGGCACAATTGATTCGGTCGCTTACGATAGACCATGGCAAAAATTCTCCAAAGATATGCCAACACGTTACGAAGATGGAACCGTCAACTTCTTAAATATAATCGCATTAGATCACGCGTTTGATTCATTTGAAAGAATGTATACAAATTGTGATAATATATCGATGCACGTGTCTAGTCTAATCACATTCCTTAGTAGAAATATGAAATCGTTTAAACATTGGAACGGGAAAAGAGTCTGCATGGTGAATACTGACAGAGATTATTCAGATAGCAAGCAACATGGTGGTATATTTAGCTTTAACGTAAAACGTGCAGATGGCACTTATGTTGGTTATCTTGATATAGAAAAACTTGCTAGCGTAAATGGTATTCATATTAGATCTGGTGGTAATTGTAACCCTGGTAGTATTACAAGGTGGTGTGGAGTTCGTTCTTCGGATGTTATTGAAAATTATTACGAGGGAAAAACTTGTAGTGATGATAAAGATATATACAAAGGAAAACATTATGGCGCTGCTCGTCTATCAGTAGGTGCTATGACAACTATTGAAGATGTTTTAATCTGGTTGGACTTTTTTAAAAGACATTATGTTGAAATAATGCCTGGAGTGACAATTAATGATATGAGTTACGATGTCGACAAAAATAGTATACTTAGTGATGAAGATACTATAAGAGGCGGACAAAGCTCGTTCCTGGCCATATTTAAAAGTTTCTTTAATTTCTGCTAAAATAGTTTCATTTATATAATTATACTTTAATTTTATAATATTCTTATACATATAATCTGATTGCATGTTGTGTATTGAATACGAATACATGTAAATCTTTTTGTTACAATCTAGAGCTATAAAGATAATAATTTAATTAATAAAACTTTAGATGATAATTCACAAACATATTTGACATTTCTTGAAGAGATTCGAAAATTCACTTTAAATGTTCTTATTTTTTGCGCCATTAGTAAGTGTGTCCTAGTCATTAACCCGATCCAAGTTTCATAAAATTGCCATTTACCATTACTGCCGCATCCCGAACATAAAAAATTATAATAGGATAGCATTACAATATTATAAACAAGATGTGACTGATATATTTTTTCATTAATTAAAAAAAAGAAAAGTTTCATGTTATGCAATCATCTCGCAAATAATAATAATGTACAAAAAAATTATTTTTTCATAGCAACTTTTTGTTTTATCATCAGATTTTCCAACAACATGCCATGAAGTACAGTAATAGTAATTTGTAGCGTGCAAATAATTTTAATTGGTATTAACACAGATTATCACTTTGGTTTTTTTTTTTTAATTTTTTTTTTAAACAATAAAATAATGTTTGGAAATTTATTCCCATCAAAAAAAAATATATTGGAGGAAAAAACCAAAAAAACCATAAAGATATAACCATTTATCTTACAGATATTGATGAGGAGCTTGCAGACGGTGAAGTTTACCATTGAACAAAAGAGTAGCATTTAATGATTTTTATATAGTAGATTAATTGAGCCAACAAGCAGGTATCATTTTTTTTTTTTATGTTTACAATTATTTATTGGCAATGATAAAAGTTGCTGTAGTAAATCACTAGATGTCTAACGATGAGATGTCAACTAGATGGGCGTGGCATGCTGTATAATGATGATATATATACATAAATTAAAAGATTGTAGCAAATAATGGCTTGTTGAGAGTTTATAATAATGTCAGTCTTGGTATCTCTAAATTTAGCCATTGGTATCTTAATGTCGACATCTCAAAGGCTTTGACAAACTAACAATTACACCAAGAGTGAATGTATAATGTAGCGAGCGGTGTTGTGTATCTAGGTCGAATCAACTGTATATCTGATTAACTATTTTCTTAGTTAAAAAAAAATAAATTTAACTGAACATGTCCTATTCTTTTCAGCTTCAAAAAAATGCTCTTGATAAGGAGTAGAATATTTGTGAATGGCATAGTAAAATAAAGAAAGAATTGGATAATGAATCAATAACATCAGAAATAGCCTCGTCATCATAATCAACAACAGCACCATCAAAAACAATGTCATTATCTCCCAAAACATTATTGCCAGAAACATCGTCATCAGAAGCACCATCGCTAAAAGTATCCGAGTATTTTTATGAAGAAAGTATTAATAGTGAATGAAGATTGTGGAGGAAACTGAGAAAAGAAAATATTTGTAAAGAGGTTTGAAAGATGTGATAATGATGAAAATATGGTATAGCTTTTTTATCACGGGTGTAGTACAGTATTTGTATCATAATTGATTCAAATGGTATATTTTAATTGATCTAATATATTTTTTTTTTTATTTAGAATCAATAATTTTATTTTTTTATTGATCAATAGACAATTTTCTCTGACGATCCTTTTTTATCATTAAACTAGAGTAACGAGTTACATCAATAATCACCACCACCATTGAAAGATTTTCTTTTAGGAAACAGTTGGAATT